AATCTGTCCAAAAAGTCACACAACTGCAATATTTCAGAAGCTTTAACCGAAGCACCTTGCGTGCTGAGGGTTCCTCTGTTCATGCAGCCTAAGAACTGGCACTTAGTAGACCTTGTACAGAGAAGCCTGCTTCTGACACTGACTCTGTGTCCTTCCCAACAAGAGCCCATAGTACAGAAATCACTTCGGGGGCAACCCACTGAGCCCACTGCCACTGCATCGAGGAAAGGAAAGGACACCCTTTCCTGGCTTATTTAAGAGAAAGGAAGAAAGAAGACTCTCCTTTTTCATACTTAGAGGCATTTTAACACTTCCCTCTCAGCCCTAATCATTGCTGTTCTTTTCCTTAGACACAGAGACCTCTCACTAGCCTAGCTCCCCATCCCATCAACAACCTCCCCCACGCCCCCGTCAGGATATCCTTATGTCAAGAATGCACATGCCATACACTCCCCTGGAGAACTCCCTCTCCTGCACTTTCATTTCAGCATCCGTGAGTCAGTTTGATTACCTCTTCTGCCCACTGGGACGTCCTACCTTGTTGAGTGGTTGTGCAGGCGCTCATCTCACCCCGTGAGGAGGCAGTGCAGGGAAGGACCAGGAGAGGGTGCACTCGGGGCTGTGCCTTCTACCTTGGGTGGGTACTGCCAGGAGGGCTCAGGCTTCCCCCACTGGAAAGATAGCCACCATCTGCTCTAATCATGTAGGCTTAGTGCAGCCTGGTTTCTCTGTTAAAATAAAATCACAGAAGACCCAGCCGCTGTCTACTAAACTGCCATGTTTTTTCTTCGCATGGGAAGAATGGGGTGAGGGTGAATAGTCTAATTTGGCTGACCATAAACCCACAGATATGTTGGCTTTTTCCAATATAATGACACTGCTCTGTCTTCTTCCTTGGCCATTTGGCTTGCCCATCCAGAGAAGTTGTAAATATGATTGCGTAGCCTGTGGACCTTGGAGGATAAGTGGAGTACCATGAAGGGTGCAAGTGGGTAATGTAAAGAAAAAGGGAATGTGATATGGAACTGGAAGCAAGATCGAAGACCAGCCTTCATCCTCAGTACCAAGGAGTAGTCGGAAATGGGAGGACCCAGGGTTGCAGGTCTTAAAATCTTCACCAGATATGGAAACACCAATTTTTATGGGATGGGAGGTGTATTGATACTTAGAGGTTGACAACTAATTCAACTTTCTGCAAAATTATTTTCAAACAGGGTGCAAAAGTAGATTGCCAATCTATTATAAAAGGACTGTCTGAGAATGCCATTATTGGGATCACTTGTAGGGTTTCTAATGTTGGCTTTCATGGGTTGGTTGATGCTTTGTTGCAAAAGATCTAATAGGCTTTCCAATTCAGCGTTTTCATGTGCACAGTGCCATGGCAGCACTTATTAGTCAGGTCGAGCAGCCCTCACCAATGGCTGTAGCCACATTTTCCATCACCGTACACGGATACCAAACAGTGACTGCCCCCACCCCCTTCCTGCCTACCCTGTCCATAGTGTTTGTGGGTTGATCCAGGGATTTGAACTGGTTTAAACCAGTTCAGTCATGGGCAAAAGTCAGAGTTTTAAAAATTTGAATCAAGCGGGATAGAACAGGACAAATTATAGAGGCTGAAGTCCTGAGGTGGGAGACTCAGAAGAGGCATTGAGTCCTTGGCAGGAGCCTGATACAACAGATGGGATAATCGCCAGGACTGTGCAGACAGTGACACCCAGAGTACCACTGCAGGCCGCCTCTGAGCCAGGCAGCACTGTTTCTGTGTTTGTCAAGAGGTTGGGTTGCTATGCAACACACACTGTTTTTGTTTTCTAAGACAGAGATTGTTTCTTGCCAGGCACTGACCTGCTTTTGCTTGTTTCAGTTATTCAGCGTCACGCACATTTTACAAATGCATGACCAGTTAGTTTACCTTTGTTGGTCATGACTAAATCAGGAAGAACCAGTTGAAAATCCTAGTTCTGATGGTGATTGTAAGGGAGAAAGCAGGCTCACCTTGTTCTGTTCTCTTTCAATTTCCTTCATCCCTTGTCTTAGGTTGGATTCTCTAGAAAAGGAAAACTGGTGGAGCGTGTATATGAAAATATACAGAACGGTTTATATCCGTGAAATAGCTCACACAGTTATAGAGGTGGGTAAGTTCCGAATCTGTGGGCCAGGTGCCCAGCTGCGGGCTTCTCTTGACTCATGTTGCTGAGGAGCTCAAGATGGACAGGTCAGATAACAGGCTTCTGGCTGCAGAGGCAAATGAGTCCAAGGCAGACAGGTAAAGTGGTAAACTGCTGACAACTCATCAGATGGCAGGCTTTTGGCTACAAATTTAAGGTTGGCAGGTGCCCGCAATCCTACAGCAAATTGCTTGCTCAAGTCCAAAGAACTGGAACTTAGGTGACAAGCCAGATATAAAATCCAGACTCAGCAAAAAGCAAGCATGCTTTTCCATAGTATCCATTATATTGGAAACGGGTCACACGCTTAAGGAAATCTCATCCAGGGAGGATTACTAAGCCTTAACTGCCAAACCACTGAGAATTCTGGCCCAGCCAAGTTGAAAAACCCTAAACTTAAAAAAAAAAGATCACATTCCATGAGGGAAAATGTTGCTGACTGCTCATTGTGGGGTACCAGCCTTCACAATCGACCTGGTCCATGGGGTGGCTATATAATTGAGGGGTAAAATTATAGAAACATCAGACAAGATAAAGTATGCAGCTATTCACCTCCGAGGCCACCGTGACTTCAGGAGCCAGATCCGAAGAGAGAATATTATATATTTCCAACCAGGGCTTATATGCACTCTAGGGGAATGCCAGGCCCCCTATTTACAGGTAACCACATGTGTGACAGGAAGGCATGCACATTACAAGATGGGCGGGCTCTAGAGTAATGATGGCAGCCTAACCTTGGTCGTCCCTGAGTTGGCTTGACCTTAGGTGTCTGGGCCCTCCTTCAGGGGAATGACCCATTATCCCTGTCAGAAGGGTGTGGGTGCTGTTTAGAGTGGGACAGACTATAGGGTCTGATTGCTCTAGACCAGCAGTTCTGAACCTGCGGGTTACAACTCCTTGGGAATCGAACGACCCTTTCACAGGGGTCGCCCGATTCATAACAGTAGCAAAATTAGGACGTAGCAATGAGAATAATCATGATTGGGGGTTTACCACAACATGAGGAAGGAACTGTATTAAAGGATCACGGCATTAGGAAGGTCGAGAACCTTCACGCAGATAACCTTTAAGCCGTTGACCTCCAGGTGTATAGTCAGTGACCATGTGTTTGCAAGCAGCACCTTAGGCTTGGCATATATTATGAGGGGACAACCTGGGGAATAACTTCTGCTTCCAACAGCTCATCTGCCTGTTCTTGTAGTGGATCCCTCAGGTGAGGTCAAGGGTGTGTCATTAGACTGAGCACTCGATATCTTCTAAGAGATATCATCAGTTTCTAGCAAAGCCAAGCTTCAACTAACTAGAAATGGAACTTGACCACACAGCTGACCTTGCTTATTAATTTTAAATCCTGTTTTATCAGCTCAACGTAGACTAAGTCCCATTCCCCAGTGAAAACAGTCACGTGGTGTGTGAGCCCTGGTTTTCTCAGAAGCTCAGGAAAGTAACCCTTTCCTAGTTACTAAGTGTTGGCTTAAAATGTTAACTCTCTGGCCTAATGGAGCAGGGGAGTTTACCTGATCCAAAGAAATGCTCCTGTCTTGTTCTCTTCTTTTCATCATTTAAGGTAGAATAGTTCTCAAATCTGGAGAGTAATTGCCTGGGGAGTTATTGGTGTCACCTCTGGCAATCCAATTCAGTAAGTCGGGGATAAGGTTTAGAACTATTTTAATACAAGATTTCTAGCTGATTCAAATACAGCTGACCCAGGGACCAGCCAACTGGGTACTGTTAAACTAACCTGCTTCAGGCTTATTTCTACACAAACCAAAGTCCAATTCACTCAAGCAGCTTGAGAATTCTGTTTTGGACTTTTTTTCCTTGCTTAAGGGTTGCATGGTTTGTTCAATGTTGATTTATGCTTGTTGGAGAAAATTAAAACATAGAAAAGAACATAAAAATACATAAAAACATCTACCATCTACACATGACAGTTAACTATACGAATAGACTTCCATTAATGTTTGTATGTCAATTTTCACATGGTTGAGATTGTATTTAGATAATTTTGTACCGACCTTGCTCTCTGCAATCCCAGACAGCTGAAGAGGAAGACTGATAATCATTTGTCTTAGTTATCTAGAGCCAGTATAACAAATCCTCAAGTGGGTGGTGTTAGCACACACACAGAAGTATTCTCTCACAGTTTAGGAGACTATAACTCCAAATTCAAGGTGCCGGTACTAGGGAAAGGCTTTCAGCTTTGGAGGATCTATGTTGCTCTGCAGGATCCATGGGTTTAATCGCTTCTCGGGCTTTTGACTAAGATCAAGTGTAAAATCTATAGGTTTGGCATTCCTTGAATACTCCATGTGCCTTAGCATCAGTCTTGCCTTGGGTCTGGAAGGTTCTCAGCACAGGAACCCTGAGTCCAAAGGTTGTACTGCTCTGCTACCGGCCCTTCTTTCTTGGTGGTGGTCAGATCCTTCCACTATGTGCATCTTTCTCCTTTTATCCCTTGTTAGGATGTTGTATCCCATTCTAATTCTCTTACGACTGGTTGGCTGATTACATCGTGGACGGTGATTGCATAACTGACAAACCACTGAGAGTCATACCTCAGCCAAGTTGAGGCATTTCAACCCATGACACTATCTCAGTGTAGATAGACATAATTGTGTGCCACATAGTCCTTCACTGTTATGATCTAAACAGGAGGTCTGGTTAGTCCTGAGCTCTACCCTACCCCCAGCTCCACAAATTCGGCACTCCTTCAACACATAGAAAATTTAAAAGAACCAAGTCTGTCTAAATAACAGACTGGACTTACAATCTGGAGGAAAGAAAATGGGACCGACAGTTATGGGGGGACATGAGACAGGGAGCGGTGGGGGGAAAGGAAGTGATGTTAACAAACTCAGTGACAAGGGAATAACAAGTGATCCAAATTGGTGGTGAGGAGGGTGTAGAAGGCCTGGTAGGGCATGGTCAAGAGGAATAACTAACCCAAATGAAGGCTGAGCATGATAGTGGGACAAGAGGAAAGTAAAAGGAAA